AATGCCCTGGCTCATGTGCAGGGAAGGATAATGGTGGTACCTCACAGGATGGAAGGACTTGGGGCTGCTCGCCCCACTGTTTAGTATGCTGGTCTCTGCTTGGGCTTCGTTCCAGATACTCTCTTCATGTAGCGGGAAAGCTGGCCATGGGCAACCTCAAATTAACCACCCCAAGAGAAAGAGAATATGTCTCTTTCAAGGTCATGACCCAGGAAGAACTCTGTTGTGCCAGGTTGGCATCAGGCCACCCTTGTGGCCAAACGGCTAGTTCTGTTTTCAGAAAAGGAGAGATGGGGGTGGGGGGAACATGCTAGGAAACCAAAGATAAGAGTACCCTCAGTCCTCATGCATCCCACTTCTGTCCATCAGTCCCTTTTGGGTCAGTCCCAAAATAATAGTAAATTAGCATATAAGACAGGTACCTTGTGCCTGGAACCAGTAGCCAAGAAAGCTCAGCCTTATGGGTTTTCTTCATGGGGTTTCTCTCTAGCATAATCCCTGTGTCGATTTTATGGCTAAGCAATGTGCTCTACAGTGGAGTAGAAGCCGCAATCTCTGGCAAGTCTGACGTGTGGGATGGGCAAGAATCAGTAATCAGACACATGCTAGTAGGCAGAGAAACAGGAATAAGGAGACACACCAAGTGGCTGCAGCGACTAAGGGCATGGCAGAGGGGAGAGCTGTGGATACTGCACAGCTACAGTGTCCTACAGCTTAAATATGTGAAGGGGAATTGAGAGGATAGAGGAGTTGATACCAAAACCCTGTGCTCCAGCTGACTTGCTTCTGCATCCTTCTTCCTGTTAACACACAGGCTGAGCACCACAGAGCTAAAAATACATCTTATTTCATCTAATCTAAGCAGCTACCATTTATAGGAGGCACCATTATTTTCTGTACTACTGTAAAGGCTACAGGACTGCCAATTGTAATTACACCATTTGTTGTAAGACGTATTTTGATTTCAGACATGTTAAAATGGGTTTTTTAAAAGTGTGTTTTAGAGTCAGCAAAGCACAATGCATGTGAGCAATGATCCTCTGGATTATCTGCCTTTGTATTAAGCAGTGGTGGCCCTGAGGTTTCTCAGATGGGGTAGTCCCAGGAGCGTGACCTTCCAAAGCCATCTCCCCTGCCTTTTATATTATTTGATATGGATAATTGATGTTTTCTCAGTCCTATGTAAAGTGTGGGTATAAGTAGCTTTGGAAGATTTTGCTAATTTTATCAACCTAAATATTGGGTTGGCCAGAAAGTTCCTTCTGGTTTTTCCATAATCTTACGGAAAAAACCCAAACTTTTTGGCCAACCCAATGAATCTAAGAAGAAGATAGTCTCTTGCTAATTCAGTGTAGCTTAAGACAAGTTTCTTAGCCCTCCTCCTCTTTCAACCTGATTGCCCCATGAAGCTCTTTCCATATAGTCTGGTATTAGTGAAAGCCACAAAGCTATATTGTATTATTGTAGTTTCCCACCAAAATACTCTCACGTGTATTTATTAGAAGTAAAGGGGCATCAGTGTCTGCAGTGTACTTTCAAATGGTTCAGGGAAAAAAGACAAAGTGGGGGTAGGGAGAGAGAGAAGAAAATGATAAAGCAAACGT